CCGCGCTTGTTCGAGCGGGGGGCCCGGCACCCGCGCCCCCCCAGTGCCCCCCCCCCCCCAAAAAAAAAAAAAAAGTTCAGCCAAAAGCATCAGCTTCCATCTAATGGTGCTTAAAGTTTGCTGCTTACTGTGCCAGCGTCAATATGTATGACTGGCACTGATGTATCGGGCGTCATGACTGTACTGGAATGTAAATCCCTCCCAGTTGTTGTAGAGTACCGGTACTCGGCTGTGAACGACCGCTTTGTGTTTTCAGTGTGGCGTTTGCTTCGTTGCAACAGCAAACCCTCAACCAGCTCAATGAGCTGTCAGTTTCACTGATGCATCAGATGTAGGAGTTTCATTTGATACAGCAAAGCCGAGAGCAAGCCAGATATTTTTGCTTGACGTAGATGAAACGTAAACGAAGGAGGTTGCTTAGAGGGACCAAACATCAGAGCAGCATGAAATAATGCAGTGGAACCACAAAAAAGACCACAGCATGACATACCGGTTGGTGATTTTACTGTATTAGCTCTGAAAATGTATCTGCAGCGGAGAAAAAATTGATTAAAATACCTCATCTGGGATTCCTGATTAAATTCAGTGGGTTACCTTGACGGGCCCTGTTCCCTCAGCTGGACATTGTTTTGTAGGTGATAAAGGTCACAGATGTTAAAACAGCAAAACCAAACACACAAAGCATAGACAGTGAAAACAGATGTTTTTTTTTTTTTTATTCACTTCATTAGTATGAAAATACAAAGTAAACATGCAATATAAATCATCACAAAGTCTGCGGTCAGAGTGAATCAATAATCCAAACATCATTTTACATCACGTGCAGTTTCTGTAATGCTGTGGTAAAATCTGGACATTTAGGGTCACTAGGTTTCATGATTTGCAAATACCTAAAGCATTTCATAAACGAGCCAAAAAGTTAAATCAAGGGGAAGAAACTGGAGCAAAAATCACTCATCTAAGCAGCATTATGCTGAATTTATTTTCATAAAAATAAAACTTGCAATTAGGGTGATAAACTCACAGACCCAAGTCAGAAGTGAAAATATTTTATAGTAGTTACATGCAAACAGACTTCTTTATATGTTATTGTATTGGATATGTGATAGATGTAAAGCTTAAGCCAATAATTAGAATGCCTTAAAAAAAAAACTCCTGATATCCTTCAAACCTCTCCTTCCTTTATCATGTGCATAATTGTCACAGGAATAGTGAAGGATGAATGAATTTCAAATTTTCTTCTTAAAAATCTGAAAAATGTGGCATTTATTTGTATTTAACTGCACAGGTAATGGTTTAAAAAAACTACATTTCAATGTCATTTCAGTCTTGTGGTGTAAATGTCGATTGCTGGCTCTCTATTCAGTTATGGAAATACTTGAGAATAGGAAACGATGTGTTTATTTTTATATATATCTTAGTCCTACTTCATGTTGTCACTGAAGTGATTTCTTGATTCTGTGGTTTTGGCAGAAATAAATATGTTGTGAATCAAAGGTAAATTAATGATTTAATAGGATTAAAACATTTTTCAACTGGAGCCAAGTCAGCTTTTTTAATCTAATAAGTAAAAAAAAAAAAAGAAAACTTTTGCATTTTGTATTTACTCAGATGATCTTTATTTGATATAAAAAATTGATTTGACAATCTGCGTGAAAAAATAATAAAAAAGAAAAAATATAACATTTGTACAAAACGCAGAACAAGAATCACCAGAGGCATGAAGTGCACACCTTGTCCTAGGTAAAAAACAACAACAAATAAATAATAAAAAAAAAACAAAACAACAACCTTGTATTCATGGAGGAAACAAAATGAAGGACAGAGCAGAGGTAGGAAGATTGTTGCTTATATTTCTCTGTTGTGATAATATCAGAATAGAAAAACTTCCTCCCTTTTTAATTTTTTACTGCCTCAGAGGAAAGATGGTTAGATAAGAAATGTGAATCTTCTGTGTGTGTGTGTGTGTGTGTGTGTGTGTGTGTGTGTGTAAGGCTGCCATCTACTGAGATCAATTTTGATGCTAAATAAAGTGACAGGAACAACGGCGCTGCCTCATCCAGATCAGTCGTGGCTGATAGAGAGGATCCTGCTGAGACGGGTAACAAGGTAAATGAATTGCAGTTTATTAACAGCTCCTTCTCACACTCCATCGGAGCTGTGAATGTTCCTTCAAACTTGTCAGTGACAAAAATGTCAGAACTCCTTACGAGCTGCGATGTGTCCTTCAAGTTTCAAGTGTTCCACAGCAGCATTAATAAAGCCTCCTCTCAGCCGCGTCGACAATCCAAACCAGTGGCGTACTGTACACGAGGAGGAGGGCTGGTTGCTAGGTTGCATATTCCTTCAGTTGCGAAGCGCTGTGATGCACTGAGATGCTGCTGTGTGAGATGTGTACCCACTCGCGAGGCTCCAGTAGGGCACCGCTGCATACAAAAAAGACGATCGTAAACACCGACTGCGACATGTAGTTGTGGATTTCCTCTAATCAGCCCCCCGACATTGGGAAGCAAATATAAAGGCAGGCTCTCCAACGGACAGCTGGACAGGTCCCGTCTAACCGCCCTAACAAGGTGAGCAGATGATGAGAGCTGTTGTGGTGGATGTCAGCGCTTCTTCAGGAGGAACCGACAACAACTGGACTGGCACTGCTAATAAGGTGTCAGAACAACTCTGCCCTTCGCTGGGAGAACAACCGTTCGGCTCCCACTCAGGACTGCTGCAAAGTCCACATGTTCCAACCACAACAGGGAAGAGCTTCACACAAGGCAGAGTGCAGCCTGGACATAACATCACCACATTCCCCCATCAAGAGATGCTGTGGGTTACTCAACCGAGATGGGAAGAGGGGGGAGCTGAACATCTCCTGTACACAGAAGCAGTGGAACAAGACTTAACAATATGATCATTTGACAGTCCTTTGTCAGACAAAACTTCAGTTTCAGTGATGCAGATGTTATGAACAGTTTCCCGACAGGAAAAAAACCCCCCCCCCCCCATTCCTTTTCCACTTAGCGATTTCGCCATGTAGAAGACTTACACACACCTGTGTTCTGTAAGGCAGGGTAAGGTTGAGTAAAATTAAACGCAGAGGTTTGCCATTTTTACTGTAGTGAAATGTAAACACCTGTGTTCTACATGTCTGTGGTTTGGAACATTCTGGATTAGGAGAAGATGGCAGCCTTTTGGAAATCACAAGAGCTAAACTGTAAAAATGAGACAAACATCTGGCTCTCAGTTTATGAAATGTACACAAAGATGGACTCAATTATTCAGACACTTTTTTTTTCCATTTGAGGAATGTTTAATAAATGACTGCTGAATCTGTTGGAGATTTTGTGAACTTTAGGTTAAACGTATGTCGTTTCAAAACCTGCCAAAAACAGGTTTTGAAGTCGTGTGCTGATATTTGATGAGGCGTCAAACTTATTTTCTTGTTAAGCCATATCAAGGTCATTAATGTTCTCAAAGGGCTGGTTGTGTCAGAATGTACCAACAAAACCCCAAAATACACTTAAAATATTAATAAATTGCTGTCTGCAATCGATAAATACTTCTTAAAATTAAATTTTTTTTAACGTCTTTGTACATTGATGTAATTTGGTAATACACTTAATAAAAACGTTTGTCATCACTGACAGAATAATATTGAAGTACACAACTGTTATGTTGAAGGGTCCATCTATGTGACCCTCTAGAGGTTTTGAGTTTTATTACATTTGTCCAAGAATATGACTAAGAGAAAGTGTATTTCTTTTTTTGCAAGCATCTTGAAGGAAGCTGATTTAATTTACACATATTGTTGTTGAGAAGCAGAACGTTTTTCTGAAATGGGGTTATGCAAGAAGTGATTGGCGTCAGGAACGTCGTGAACAGGGGCAGTAAATGACCTGCACATAAAGCGTCAAGACTTTACATGAAGATCAGCACAACTGGCCAGAACGTTGTGAACATTGCGACAGAATGTTCCAAAGTGTAGACGACAAAGTAAACAAAACTTTATCTGCCTATTTTTACGTTGACTTGAAACATCTAAAGACAATACGATGAACCCGGCTTAGTGACTGTCTTTGTTTTATTTGTCTGCTGCTGCTGTGCTGAGGCTTATTTTGCAGCCTGCATTCTAATGAGACTGAAAGCGAGCAGGGGAGGGAGAGCGTGGGGGGCGGCGGCGGTAGCGGGTGAGGAGGAGGAGGAGGAATTGTGTAACTCTGAGTTATATAACACAATATGCATGGCCTTCTCTTTCTCTGTCTCCCAGCTCCTCAAACAGGGAAACACAGAGCGCAGCAAGCAGCGGGAGAGCGTGGAGGGCTTAAAAGGGTGCTTGTGTTAATGAGGGCGCTGTGTAGAGATGTGCGCCTTGCTAAATAAAATCATACCTCATTACAGCGGGGTTTCTAATAACACCGGCGATGAGAATAAGTTGTTTAAAAAGTGGGGAGACGTGAAGGTCGAAGCGCCGGCTTGTCCTAGATGAAAACCCAACCGTCAAGTGGCGTTCAAGTGGGCTGACTGGGTAATTAGAGCCAATGAAATGTTACTGCTTTCGCCCTGATGTTGCATTCGGCTGGACATGTCCGTGGATGGGAAGTGGGAATCAGCCTCAGCCGCTACAGGAAACTGTGAGCGTGGTGCTGTCTGGGTTTATGATGCTGTTTTTGAAACAAACTAATTGAGTCAACGGTTTACATTTATTATTTACAAAGTACAAAACTGCAACAGATAATTAGGGCTATGCTAAGAAAATAAAAATAAAATGACAAGAATAAAGTCATGGTATTACGTGAATAAAGTTGTACAAAGATACAGTAAAAATGTTGAAATAAAGGTTAAATAAGAAATAAGTAAAATTATGAGTATTCTCATATTAGTACAACTTTCTTATTGTATTAATTCTACTTTATTCTCATAATATTATGCCTTGTACGAGTTTACTCTCGTAATATTCTAATTTTATTCTTGTAATTTTATTTAATTTTTTCATTTTGTATTATTAGTACGGCCGCAATTGTACAAAATCACACAATACAAAAAAAAGAAAAAGAAAAATGCATCAACAAATATTTTATAAAACTAGACCGAGTGATAAAATATTACTCAAATACAAGCAGCATTTTCAGACCGATGCTCAAGAATAGTTGACTTTGACGCAGAACGTTTCCTCGGTTTTCTCCTCGGAGTTGTTGACGTAAACCAGGATCTCTGCCGAGCCCGAACTCTGGCTGGGAGCGAATCGCAATCCGATCGTGTAACTCTCTCCACCGCCAATCTGAACACAGTGAACAAAACAAATGCATCCCCTTTACTCTCCGGTTCTTTTTTTGTTTTAAACAATATAAGCTCTGTATCAGTAAGTCTGTATGCAATCACATTCAATAAAATATGATTGCAGATAAGGCAAGTTGGTCAGATTAAAAGTACCTTTCGAAGATAACAACCTTTAAGCAGATATTAAATATATTTTTCCATTTACTCACATTTCTGTAATATAAAATGCATTTTTATTGGTTTAACATTCTAATTTTACATGTCATGTTTTTTGTAAGTGGAAAATCATAATTAAACACTAATGGCTTCCAAAAACCCATCTGGGTCTGATTCGTCTATGTAATGTTTCACTTGGTGATAAAGTTCCTGAAATAAGTGGGCTTGCCAGCAATATTCTGATTTATCGAATGGGTCAGTATATGTTGATGTCCTGAATCAATTTGAATCATCAGATCAGATTCAGTGTACTTCACCCTTTATCATCGCTTAACTGGAACTGAATTCAAATGTGTTACAACTCAAACAATAAACAAGTCATATCTGTTAAGCTCTTCAGCAAAAACCGAACCGTATGTGTCGAGTCAGACAGATCCTCAGAAACAAATGGAAAATTGATGGCCTTGTTAGGTGAAGCGCTCTCAGAAGGCTGTAGCTGCTTTCGTAACAAAGCTAATCGCATGTTGGAATGGCGAACTAAAGTTATCCTCCGCAAACACCAGCTGAGACGCCCGTCACTGACGGCTAGAGACCCTGCAGCATTTATAAACGCCGGTGAGCAAAACGCAACAGTGATAAAACGTAGTGTTATGCCACTGCACTTTAAAGCTACTGAGGCTTTGTGCGTACATATTATATTGATTTTATTAAAAGTTTAACTGTCAGATTAGGACTCCGTATCGCAAAAAGCCAAGATGACTTGGATCAGGAGAAAATAAATAATAAAAAAATAAAAAAGGTGTCCACAAAAAGCACATGGGTTATCTGCATGGGACATTTATACAGAAATTACTTGGAGGTTGTGTTTGTACAGTGTGTATAGTTTTGACACAGCATGAAGAGAAAAGCCACAATAAATTGAGACTTGTGAACCCCAAAAAAAACAAAACAACAAAAAAACTGTTCAACTGAGTTTCTTAAATCCTAACAATATAATATTAATGCTGGATGTACAGTGTGTAAACTTCAAACCAGAATTGTGTATGTACAGTTTGCTGATTTTTTTTTTTTTTGCCTTAACAGAAGAAAAGCTTGTAAATGAGCACACTGGTTTAGCTTTATAATGAGGCATTCCAATTGGTTTCATACAGCTCTGTTTATATTATTACAGAGGTCTGTTCCAGTATATCTGTGTTCGATAAAGACAGAAGCTTTGAGCTCGATGCCATGAATCTGTGGCTGTGAATTTACCAACGCTGTGAAGCAAATAAGACCCAGAGAGCCCAATAAGGAAAAACTGGCCAGAATATACAGGCTGCATGTTATATACTGAGCTGAGACCATCCTCTTGAATGAAATAGTAACACACACAAAAAAAATCAATTTATATAAAAGGTCAGGATAAGGTTTAAAATTTGTTAAATGGGACACGATGCTGCACAGACACAGCTTTATATACATTAAATTAACAGTTTCTATTACAAAAAACAGCTGAACTGCTTTTTCCAACAGCTTTCCAATTTAATTTCACGAACGTCTGAAAGGAGAGAAAGAAGTATCGCTCCTCTGTTGTTGTAACTCCCTGACACTGCCGTCCTCACCTCTTTTTGTATAAATTACCAGTTTTGTCCACACAGCCTGCAATTTTCATTGTTCTCACTAATTAAAGAGAGAAAGTGCTGATGTTTTTGTTGTCGGGGCTCATAGCCCACAAGGTCATAAATTAATCTTTTTGTTTATATTCTCACGGTATTTCTATCAGCCATTATCCGTTTTTTGTTTACATAACATCATGGGGGGGGCGGGGGAATAAAAATAATCAAAATGTGAAATTTACAGAGCAATTACTTTCCTTAAACCTTTATGTGATTTACCGTTTTTCTGAAGCTGTTATATAAAACAGAAAAGACAATCTTCTCGCTTGCTTGAGGCAACAGGGACAGCAGATCCTTCATGAGACACCTGGAGATTCACCAGGAAGGTGGGAAAAACAGAGGCTGCTTTTCACTCTGCCCACCTCATTTATAATGATGCACCGTCTTCGGGCCAAACACAGCAAGGCTCCTTCAATGTTTATGTGCAAACTGGCTCCTATTGCGTCTCACATATTGTGTTTGTCTCGCTTGTTTTGCTATTTTGTCAAACCTAAGCAAATGATAAGGAAATGACGGCAGCAACCTAAATGTTTCTTTTTTTTTATTTTGATGAGGGAATAAATCAGCAGGAGAGGCTGCAGCCGACCACACAACAACAAAGCAACGTAAAGAACTGCTTTGTACTATTCCCCCCCATCTGATCTGAAAACAAACAAGCGCAACACTCGTCGCAGCTGAGGCCCAAACAACAAATGTGTTGAAATCAATGCAATCTTATTCACTGCCAAAGACAAATGTACATATCTGCAAGACTCTCTGAGATTAATGGTATTCCTTTTAAAGATGTGTGACAAGTATAAGGGTGTCTACTACTAATATTCATACAATATTTTATGCTTCACATTTGAAGTAGACCAGAGCATTTAAAAATATACTTTGATGTGAAACGTCACTCTTCAAAATGAAAATGATACGTACAGATGTAAGATAATCTTAATATCAAAATGGCTACATATATTTTAATAGTTTGAATCAATTGAAACAGGAAGAGGACCGAAGAGTGAGAGGGAAAAAAAAAAATGCTTACTGGTAAAAAGTGCAACAAAAGATGATACAACAGTTTCACAAGGATAAACAACCATTAGATAAAACATAAACGCCTATTGGTTGGTTTTGGGAATGAACACAGAAAATTTGTTCCTGTCCTCCACTACAAACGTAGACCTACACTGTTTGCTAATTTCTACTTTAACTGGAACAAAAGATAAAAAATTTGCCATACTATTAGCTATGGGGAATAATCTTGTGATACTATGAGCATTCGGCACTTTTGAAGCAACTGAGAACCTTATCAATGTTTCAAATAAAAGTATTGTTGCCTGTTGCTTTAAACCGAGAAAAAGTGTTATTATTCTGCCTATAAAAACAAAATAAGTACCCAACAAAATTAATAGAAGTGGTTTATCAGACACGAAATGAACCTTCGTTCAAAGCCATCTCAATTATCAGATCTAAGTCCTGTTAAAGAAAAAAATCTGTGGTAAGCTAAAGACAGAGAGACGTCGTCTTCTCGAGGACCCAGGACACTGGATTAACTTTTCTGTCCTTCTAAAAAGAATAAAACTGTTAAAATTCCAAAAAGTGCGGCACTGGAGAACTAGAGAAAACTATTAGGTTTTATAATGAATTTCCCCCTCCTACCTAAATCAATATACTCAAACCAAAGCTTGGATTCCTTATTTTACCAGCAGCGATATTACCACTTCTGCAAGAAAAGATTCATTTATTTTAAGGCTGATTACACATCTTTCCCAGGGTGTCAATAGGTGTGGGGGCTGCCGTTTTATTTATTTAGCAGTGAATGTTAAAGAATTATTCGTTTATGAATAATCAATATGTTGGCTAGACCTTTCTCCAGGTTTTAGCAAGATTAATTTTGTGCAGATAGATAAAATACAATCAGCAGTGTTGAATGAGAGCCGGGTCGTGAGTAAAAAGGTGATTCCATCTCGAGGTTCCAATAAACCGTCACTTTTAGCTCTTCTACAGTTTATATTAATCAGGAGTTTGTCACAAATTGTAATGACTTGACGTCTGGTGGGGAAAAAAGGATTGATGTTTCACTTTCTGCGCACGCATGTCACGGATCATCATCAACACAGAAATTATTCACACCGTGTTAACAAGATTAATCCTATAATCTAGAGAAACCATCTGTGGAGGACACCTGACGAGCTTTGGTCAAGGCGTTAATCAAAGTATTGATTTGGGTCTTAATGAAGCGGAGAGAACTGTAATGCCTCCTGCCTTATCTCACCTGGAACTTATCCTCTCTGAACTGGAGCAGGTCGGGATGGTCGGAGCGGAGCAGGAACGTCTGTGTGCTGGTGTAAGGGTTGGTGTAGGTAATTTTTCTGGAGCTGCCACGCCCATTACCAGCTGGGACGGACACTTCGAATGCCTGCACACACCCACACGCAAACGGTTTATGGCGTACTTGCTTGTCACTGACTTGTTTTGCAAAGTATGGTTAGCTATAGGGTCAAAAAATAAAAATAAAACACAAGGAACAGCAGTAAGCACTGGAAAAATGTGAACTGCACAAGAAATAGTTTAAGTTCCTAAATGTACATTTGAAATTACGAAGAAAGAGCAACGATCAAAAGTCACAACATGGTTCACGGGTTACAAATAAATCTGGAAATGACTTTTTGGCATTAATTTAATATCTGAGAAAATAGGAAAGAAAACTAACACAGCATATCTGAAGGTTTCACCAAATCAAACTTAAGACTTTTAAAATAAAATGCTATCTTGAATTCTATTAAATTAAAACTGTAGCTATGAGGGATGGTTGGGGGAACTTGCTGCATTACAATCAACTGCAGGAAAAACTCTGAATCTGGCTTTCGGCTTCTCACATCGCATATCGCTCTTCACAGCCAACGGAAAAGTTTTTCTACTCAGCCTCGTCTGTGTTGGCAGCAGAAGTTGGTCATTGACAAAACAGAACATCATCCAGCCAGCTGCCGATAAATTTTCACTTATTCATGATAGACATAAAAAAAAAAAAAAACTAGCTTGCAAGCTATATTAGCTATATTAGCAGATCGCTGGCTTCCACTGCCTTGAGTCTCAGAATGCAATGAAGATGTTTGCATGAAACTCAAAGTACAGTGACAAAAAAACTACAGTAAATAGAAGAATTATGATTAACAAGTTAAAGACCTACAAAGATTTTTTTTTTTAATGAATTTAAGACATTTTAAGACCTTTATTTTAGACACTAATTTAAGACATTTTAAGGATGCGCAGACAACCTGTGCTGTAGGTAGTCAGACATCAGTGGTGTCAAAGTAAATGGATGACAATGTTGAACACATATATGAAATATAAAATTAAGATAACTAAATGCAAACAAAACATACACTGGAATAGAAGCAAAGAGGGGTGAGAGAGAAGCCCACCCCCCCGCTGCGTAGCAGCAAGGCTTTTAAAAAATGTCAATATTGAATGTTATTGCATCTTAGAAAATGTTATAACTGTGTAGATCCATTACACATAGAGTGAAGCACATTATTTCAAGCCTTTATTTCTTGTAATTTTGATTTTTTTTTTTAATTTTTAGCTGCCACATTTGACCAACAACAATTTCGATCCTCAACATTTCTCAAAACTTTTATATAAAAGAAAAAAAAATCTAGACACAGAATTTCTTTTCAGAGAAGTTCAGAGAACGATCCTCTCACCTTTGACAGGACAGGACGGTGGACACGGAGACACAGGAGCCAGGCGGCCACCAGCCTTTTCTGATCCATGTCCACAGCGTTCACATACAGGAAGCGGCTGCCAGCCTGCCATGGCTGAACCCTCAGCTGGAGCTCCTGCACAGCGGCGGGAGGCAAAACAAACACACCGGCCGGGTCCACCTGCAGAGGAGGTGAGGGCGGGAAAGGTTGATTGGACCTGGCAGCAAGGTGATGAGATGCTGGTGATTAGGTTATGAGAACGGCGACGACACAATGAAGGTAAGCAGAGCCATTGAACAAGTGGCAGAAAGAGTGTGACAGGACAAAGACGAAGGGGTGGAAAGGGACGGGGCTAATAAGACGGGGAGTTTAAAAGAGTCAGAGAGAAATAAAGAAGGTGTCCTGTTTACTGAGAGTGGGCCAGAGAAAAGTAAGATGTGGTGAAAAAGGTAAAGAGAAGGGAACAGACAATGAATCCAGAGACAGCAGAGGAGGAAAAAGTGACATACACAAGGATGTGAGATTGAGCTCTACTGTGCAGCTGTTTTTCAATCTGCTCAGAGAAAAGCAAAGCTATTCTCTGAAGCTGAGCTTTATCCTGTTTTGTAAGACTCCTTCAGTGCATTCCTCAGTCAGCCAAACCTGCTGAGAGCCAGATCAAAGCTGCCACTGATGCATACGGTGAACTCTTTGAAAAATACATCTGTCACTTTCTCAGACGGTACCCTATTTCTACAGGGTAAACATGTTTGGGTCGCACAGTGAAGCGCGCAGGAAAACCGTGACAGTCTGTCATCCCCTTCTTTGAATATGGGTGAGTATTATGAAATAACTCTGACTGAGAAGCACTGTCTGGCTGCTCCAGCTATCAGATATGAAGAAGAAAACATCTATTGAAAATAAAGGGCAATATGCTGTGCACAGAGCACATTTCCATGTGTTCACATAACCAAGTCTTTTTTTTTTTTTTTTTTTAGATCTGACATCATTGCAAAATGCAGACAAACCTAAATTGAAATGACACACGCTGTCGGTGCACACTTCAGTCTCGCTAATGACTTGAATCTGAACCGAGGGGCTATTGCAAAGGAGACCGCTGTTATTCGCTCCATGCTGCTCGAAGAACAATTAGCAGAAAATCATTTTTGGATGTGCACTAGGAACAAAACAAAAAAAAATCCCTTGCAGCTTCTCATTTGATATGTAAGGTTTCAGCTGGCTTTGCCCAATCAACACAGAGGCACAGACAGCAAACATAAAGAGGAATGATATCCAGAAATTAGAGGTCCTGTGACATTTTCAGATTTTTTTTTGCAATGCATCTAAGCGCAAAGAACTCATAATAACTGAAATGTTGGTCCAGTGGTGCTTGTGTGCAAAATGTTCTTTGGATAACATGCAGTGACAGAATAGCTTATGAGAGCAGGTGGCAGGAGGGACACAACACTTTGTTCTCCAAGGTAAACTGTCACAAATCACAGTTTATATAATTAAATGCAGTCCCATAATTTTGGGTCCACTAACCGAGTTTGCACTGGATCCAATTGAAAAAAATGTAAAACAACTCTCCAGCAGAGGTCTTTTTCTGTATATGTTTTAGTGACTGTGTTTTCCACTTTTCCTAATTACTGTTGAGTCAATCTTCCACAAGTACATTTAGTTTATTGCAACTTGAAATCAAGTTGAACTGAACTCAACTTTTGCTAAAAGTTGTTTTCTATCACAAAGGTCTCCCATCGACCAGTGGCTGTAGTGCTTTCTGTGGGAATAGTAGTAAAAAGAGACTTACTTAATTATTGTTGACTTTAGATTCTGTTATAATGGTAGAAACAGTTAATATCTTGCTGGCAGTAAAATTCAGAATTACCCAGATCCCAATGATTGCCACAAAATGGAGGTAGAAGGTCGTAGGCCAACAGTTTTCAACACAAAGAATGGAAGATATACAGAAAAATATTGAAAAGTAAGTCAATGTGAAAATCAAGAAAAAACAAACAAACAAAACAAAACGCTGTAATGCTATTGTAATACTGTCTGAAACGATTTGCATTTTCTCCACCAGAGAAAATCACACGTTTCACAAAGGAAGACCATTGGTGGCACATAGCCTCCTACTTCTATTTTCCATGTAGATAATTACCAGCTTCTCTGTAAATGACTGCCCAATGCAAATGTAGTGACAGCTTAAAGATATGTAAAATAGTGTTTGTACAAACTACTGTGATGTTTTTAAGATTAGACTTATTTTAGGCCACAGCTTCCGTCTTTGCCCCTCTCAGACTTGCTAGTACAGCATCTATAAAATAGTTCTCATTCTCTTGGATGTTTTACCCTTGTGTTGTTTTACAAATCAGTCACAATCAACAACATGTGGCTTTTTGGGGAAAAAAAATGACAGAAGAACCCTTTGCAACTGGTGGTTGAAGTCTCACAATGAGAGGAATGGAGATCAGGTGGGGACAGTGACTGTGTGCAATGTGCTCACATTCAAGCTTCATTTTAAAGTCACAATGAGAAAGCCACTGTTGGAGAAAACTCAGCTCAAGGCTTGACTAGAGTTTAGCATGTGAGAGTCTCCAGGGTCAAGTGGAAGAAAGGCTTTTAGTCTGATGGACCAAAATTATTATTTTTTTGCCCATCAGACGAGACAGTATGTATGACACCAAACACTGCACATCACCACAAACATGGTGATGTGCAGTGTTTGGTGCCCATGATGCATCATGATGCTTCTCAGCTGTCGGCCTTGGAAGGCTAATAAAGATAGAAGCTAAAATAAATGCAGCAAAAATATCAGGAAATTCTGGAGGACAATTTTTTTTCCATCTCCAGGTGAACTTACAGCCTTGGAAACATTTGTCTTCCAGCAGGGCAACAATGTGATGAATCTGGATAAAGCTACATAGAAATGGTTTGAAAACAACAAGATGGAGGTTCTGGAGTGGCCCAGTCAAAGCCCCGACCTCAAAATAACAGATAATTCATGGCAGTGCTTGATATGTTGCAGCCTGATAGCTTGAACAGTTTTGCAAAGAAAAATTGAGTAAACCAGGATCAGCATCAGTAAATCAGCATCCAGGTGAGTACTGACTTGAAGGGTGTGAATATCTGTTATTTTATGTTAAATGTCTTTTTAATTGTTATTTCTGTATAAATCAGTTTTTACTTTTATAAAAAAAAAACTAATTTCGTCACTCATGAACAGTTTGCAAATGCAACAAAAAGGGTAAAGTATCCAAGAATTATGTGTAGTTTTTATAGAAACTATAGCTTTAGCCTCCAACTATTCTCAGTTTACAAATAAAAATGCCATGAAAATTATCTGCTGCAGGTGCGACTGTAACTTTACAACTTTTTAACAGCAGATCACTTCAAGAATGATCTATTATCCTGTTAAGATGGCGCATTGAATTGCTGCAACTGCAGACTCTAATCCTTCCTTGTCATCTTTTTCAACATGCATTGTGTGAAATAATTTTACACTGATGCTGTAGAAATTGATTCAGCTACTTATCTTGCCCAACAATTATTGAATAAAAATGCTGAAGTGAGCACATTAACTTCAGCAAGTGAGCATATTATTTTCTAACTATTTTAGGATTCAAGTTGTGTTGTGAGGTACAAAATACTGACAAGTTCACTTCATTTCATTAGTCATTTAATCTAATGACTAAATGAAATGTTAGACAAAACATTTGCTTTATTTTCTTTAAAGAAATATCATTGAACAGAGCAAAATCATTCTCCAAAATGGAAAATTCTATTTCTAGTGGTTTTAAATGAATGCGCTTTGGATAGTTTGTCCAAAAAGTCACACCCTAAGCTAATTAGATGACTCCTAAATTAGACCCAAAGGAACAAAAAACCTATTCGACAAGTAATTGGCACATGGCAAAGCCAGAGCAACAAACAATCTCCAGACAGGATGATGCAGCCAATAATGGCAGGAGCAACATGAGCACCCAATAATTGAGCTGTTGCCATCCATTGGAGCAGAGAGGGAGATATTATGTATCCACCAGATCGCCAATTGGCAACAAAACATGACGGAGACACACATCAAGGTTAGAAAGCTCACGGAAAATTTGGATACTGAATAGAGCCCTGATGATACACAAGACAAGAGATGGGGACAATCCGCTCAAATATCTGTATGAGATAAGATGCAGACATTGTCATTCTTGGACCAGATATCAGGCTGACGTCGCTGATCCAGACATGGCTGGCTTTTACCCAATATGTTTTAAAATATCTCCTTCTTTGGAGTTATTTTAAAGTCAAAGGTAGATTTTTGTTATTTAGTCCTTGTAAAAAAAAATGTATAGTAGCAAATGTGTAAGTGTGACAGTAAGAATCTCAGTTAAACAGCAACAGCAAACCCCAAAACATTTTACTGTTTTGAATGTTTAACTTCTGTCTGCCACGTAAGGCTTGGACATGTCAGGAGAATGTTGACACAAGGTAGAAACATGTACAGTTCAAAACAATATGTAGATGCTAGAGATGCTAATGGTGCTAATGTCTAATCAGAGCTGTTAAAAACAGCTTAAAACATTTCACTATCAAATTTCAGGGCTTTCTTGGACTAAAATAAGAAACTACTGCTTTATTGAAACCATCATGCGTGACTTTTCTCAATCTTTCATGTACAAACACAAATATGCCTTTGCTCACGAATAATTAATGTTTGTTCATGGTAGAAAAGCTTGCTGTGGAGGGAGTTTATTGCTAGCTTTTACAGCTCTTCAGACCACTTTACAAACATTTACACACCAATAAAGTTAAAGGTTTCAGAGCGCCAGTCTTTTTCACGCTGCAGTCGTGCTCTGACTGCAGTCATTTGCGGTTTTACCAGCCTCCCCAGTTTCAGCCGTCTTTATACAGATTTAGCAGTTCTTTCATATGATGTTAATATAAGCACAAAATTACCACTTTGGGGCCTATTATGTAAATATTAAAATGGGAAATAATAATACAACTGAATGCTGACAGTGATCATGTATTGTTTTTGTAATTAGTTGCAACACTAAGATAAGAACTACACTAAATATTGAATTAAAAACTCCTTTAGTCTGTTTAATATGCACTGAATGCGTCAAATCATAACAAAACACAAAACTGAGTATCAGAATCTCTATTTCCGACTTTCCTAAACCTAATTTATTAATTTATTGTCACTTTAATTTAGTTTGGGTTAATAGAACCCAAGTCACCCACAACATGCTTTGTTATATCAGCTAAAATCAACACAAAATAAATTCACTTTACTTCTTTACAAATTAAAAACAGTCTACCTCAATTTCTTTGGGGTGTGACAGGAAACATTTGATCTTGCGAACGGCCTGTTTGCCCCTCAGAACCAGTGACTGACAGGTTCTCTGGCCAGTCACGCAGCTGAGGTCCACCCGCTCCAGAAAATGCACGTACACCTGCCAGATCTGAGAGGGCGCCGCCTTCCACTTGTCACTGTCAACAAAGACAAAAACAAGAAACGCATACGGTCGAGAACAATTAAGGCCCCCACGGAGATGCGGCAGGTGCAGCTTGAGGTTGGAAATCATAAGAGCTGATCAACAGCTCTGCGAGCGTTTTAATAAGCACAAACATCATCGCCAATCAGAGCTGAGATGAAGGGAACAACGTCTCAGGAGCCATAGCTGGATGTGAGAGTGGGAGGCAATGTAGTCACCTACTCGGTTCTGCTCAGCACTCGAGGAGCCTTTGGGGATATTTGCAATAGAAATAAGGCAGAGTGAGTTTTCAAGGGTTGGTGGAACATCAGTAACATTTGGAGCTGCTGATGAAATGAAGTGATATCTTCAGATGGTGAACAGATGCACACACACAGAAGAGCATTTGGGGTTTTCCAGTCACACTTTCTTTTAATTGTTCCAAACTCACACCACAGTGTTAACTACTGAAAGCAGTGGATAATAACTTTAATATTTGACGTCTTAGACGTGACATATATTGCGAATACTGTCGTTCTCCATTCAGCTATATGTACAGCTTTGATGGAAAATGAAAAGCACTTAGTTTAAGTAGTGGTTTAAAGTGTTTCAAGGGATTTATACTTACTGGCACTCTTTTCCCTCTTTTTCTCACAAAGTCACAGAGGCAGATGAGAAAGCTGGCATGAGAAGTGTGCACCTGCCATTAGGACCAACTCGGGGTTCAGTGTCTTACCCAAGGACACTTCTGCGCATGGAAAGGAAATGCTGGGGACTTTGCCACTAGCTTGCTTTACCAGCTGAGCCACTCTTATAGAGTGAAATAAAAACTGTCTGCAAGTTTGTGAACAACTGCTGGTAGCTCCTGTACAAAATGATGCCTCTACATTTAAAATGGCATCTACAGTCTGTATCATTGGTTACATCATTTTGGAAAAAATAGGATCTAATCTCTGAAGGCCTTGCAATTGCATCCAGATGCCTTCAATTTGTAACAATTTATATTTCTTTAAATGTTTCTGTTGCGACAAACATAAAATAGCACATAATTCTGAAGTGGTGAAAATGGAACACATAATATATATTTTTTTAAATTAAGCTTTGAACAAAAGGCCATGCAAGGACTAATTAGTCCTAAATGAAAGTGCAATCGGTTGCTTTCAGAAGACACTGAATGTGTGAACAGCAGAGAACGTCAGCTGTTCTCTGAAATCCTCAGAAGTTTATAAGGAAACATTAATAAAGAAACAGCAAAGTGAGCAAAAAGGAACAGGTCAAGGAGAAATATATATATTTAAAACCATTTCTTCCTTCTCAAACATCACAACAAAAAAATCTAATAATATACATCAAGGTGGCTTTCATGTGAGAAAATGCAAAAAAAAAAGATGTTCAATACTTTTGCAAGACATTATATGTCTTATTGAGGTTCAGTGTAGAACAGATTATGGATTCTGTAATATCCATAATTCAGGTCCACTCTCACAAAGAGGTGCCACTCGCTTAGAGAAAAAACTTGTTCAAGCCTATATCAACATTTCAATTAGTTAAAAATGGACACTCCTTCAGGCTAAACTGTGTTTGTATTCACTGTATACAACCTGCCTGGGCAGCAAACAATACATACGTGAAAACCATGACAAAGAACATCTTTATGTGTGGACTGGGACTCCCTGGTACTTTTAAGTACACATCCTGAGGCTCTCCAGGAACCTAAACAAGAACAGCAATTAAGAAAAACATGTTAAACTGGAGGCGTAAAATGACTAAGAAAGCAATGAAATGTATGTCTCCAGTATGGCGGTAGATAAAAACTCATGCCTGGGGAATTGCAAGAAAAGGCCTTCTACCTCTTTAATCACTAGTGTAGCAATCTGCAAAGGCTACTGTGGGTTACTTGTGGTCAGAACAGAAACATGCAGGAAAGTAATGATGTCTCACCAGCATCCTCGTCTGGCAGACGATATTAGGGTCACTGCAGTGCACAGAAATATCAGAGCAGGAATTTGGGTCTTCGGCTGGTTGACACACAAATAAGGAAAACAAAGAAAATGTTGATGCTTACAAGAAAAGGCCACAGTCAGATGGCACATCTAATCATCATTTATAAGAACACGTCCCAAAAATTAGATTATCATCATGGACTTTTTCAATCTTCTCATTTCCATCCCCTGCCTTGGTTCCCCAGGTACCGCTAAAATGCAAATTAAATTCCTCTGTGACTGAAATTAAAAAAAACACATTTATCTCCTGTAGATCTTATATATATATATATATATATATATATATATATTCAGTGCAGCACAAAGGAGCGTTGTGGCTTAGGGAAAGATCGATGACAGGAGGTTGTCTGAAAGAAGCCTAGCAACCTGTTGAGCCTTGCCACGGCGGCAGGCGGATGGCCTTTTTAAGGAAACAAAGTTCAGGGTGGTAAAGTCGGAAAGTCTGGTCCACAACGTGGGGCGTTGGCTCCACGTTGACCTGGCAGATGGCCATCGGCTTTCCATCGTCTGCTCTGAATGTAACCTGTGGAGGGAAGAGGTGGAATATCAGTGGGATGCACTGCAGGCTTGAAGTCAAATTGAATTTTCCTACATAAAACGACTAACAAAGGGCTGTTCTCTGTGGGAAAAGAGGATGAGAGGTAATTCTAAATAAATCTTTCACGTAGAATATCAATAAGCATGTGTAATAAACGCAGCATAATGTTAAGGAAAATTTACAGCATTTCAATCACCTTGAATGTGTGCAAACCTGGCGAATCGCGTACAAAGAGTTGCGTGGATTTTCTACTAAATTCTAAAGTACGCCAAAGTCAATAACAAAAACTCTATAACTTATATTTTACTGTATGGTTGTGACTGCAAACCACAGCATTCACAGCACCACAATCATAGTTCTTGACAAATGTTCCCATTTGAATCAGGCTTGTTCTGGAAAGCACCTACTTTAAAAAGTGTGATCTATATCACTAATCTGCACACATCAACTGAATTTATTCATATTTTCGAATATATTAATAATTACTGATTTTTTCATAGAACAATGGAGAAAAAAGCAAAAATTACATTTTCAATCATACTGTCAGGTTTTTTTTTTATTTACCATTAATAAACTTATTGTGACTACAATAAATTAAAACTTTTATAAGACATTGTTTCACAGTAAACAACAATACAATACAATAAATGCCCACCTCTACTGCACATGGACAAAAAAATATGCATACAATTGTTCGTACACATGGATTCAAGCACAATGCCTGTGAATATTTTAATCATTGTGGTATCAGCAGGTGGATGAGGGAATATCAGACTCCTCCCTCAATACGGCTCCATTTACATATACACAAATAGATGTAAAATAATCTTTGCACGTTCAGTTCTCTCGGCTGCATGGTCAAATATCATGTGTTCTTGTGAAAACAGGGAAAACCAAGCAGGTCGTGAGTTGGACAGCATCAACCTTTCATTTTTTTATGTGTCTTATCACGCATCCGTTAAGGTTGTGCAGCACTTAAAAGGATGTCACACACTATTCCAGAAAAACAATGCAGAAGTGGGGGATGTCTATGTTCATTCATAAAATCATTGTAAACTCGGATTTCATCAGGAAGTAGGTGGAACACCCTGAGAAGCTTATCCAGTTAAAACAGGAAATCCACTTGAAAGATTGAAAGTTCACTCACTTGAACGATATTATACAGTAAAAACAAGATAATGTCTTCACTTCTCGCCTGCTGAGTCGTCATCGGTTCCAAAACAAACTGCTGTTCACCAACCTGAAGGGCTCCCCACCTCCTTACATTTGCAGATCACATGTGTACATTTATTTATTGGTAGATCAATACGAGTAAAAATTCACATAGAAAAACATTTTCATCCTGCAATGACGCTTTTAGTAATGTGAGCATGGTTGATGGCTCCACATACATACATGTGTACAGTGACTCTGCCATGCAACGCTGCAGGAAGAGGATGTGAGCAATGGACAAGAATTAGAGACAAATAGCTTCAGGTCCACCAGCTTGTTTAATTATGAGATCCTTAACCAAACTGGGCCTCAGATGTTCAGAAAAATTAATTCTCTAATTCCTTATTTTTATGAACTGGCATAAAAAAAAAAAAAAAAAAAACTATAGATATCACAACCATTTCCTAAGGAAGTCAACAAGAACAGTGTCAACTAGAATACCAATTAGTTGTGTCTAATTATTTAAATCTTCAATGATCATTGGATAATGCTTTGAAGACTGTTGCATAAAGTAGCCAACAGCATGTGCATTAATCAGGATGTCTTTATGCTATAGCTTAATCACTTATATCATTATAAACGGTCTGTTTTATATCACAGACTGTTTGTAACAGGGTTCTCAGACTTTCTATCCAAAGGACCAAACTGGATTCCAGAAGTGAGAGCCAAAACAACTCAGATCAGCAAATCCTCTCTCTTAAACGTGTTTTCAACTTATGAGACAGACAAATGGCACTTTGAGTTTGGAATTGTCAACTTAGAGAAAGTTTAACTTAACTTGATCAACTTAATTATATTTCATGCCTCAATAAATAAAGTGTTTATTTCAAACAAAGTAGTCAACAAACGTACGCCCAAAACACTTAATTGTTTCATTATCGAAAGAGAAAAAAAAAAAAATCTATAAGGTTGCATTATTTCTTATGAGTACTACGAATACAACATTGTTTGAAGTTAAATTTGGGTAGAGACAAGAAGAAGAAAAACTGGGATGCGATGCGTTTTCCCCCAGCACTCTAAACAGGCAAATAAAATTCATACCAAAGCAACCCTGAACATTGTCAGGAACGTGTCTGATTCTTATGACTCAGCCACGGAGGTCGGTACAACACCTCTCCAGAGTCTGTAAAAGCTTTCCGAGTTTTGTTTTGCAGTCAATTTATGGTTTAAGTTAGACTTGGAGGTTTTCTTGCACATTTTTCTCGGTGTCTGAAGCCTCGACTTGACCTCTCCCTTCACTCAAGTTCCTAATTAAATTACAAACTGCGGAGACAACAATCTGAAAAGGGGGATCCTTTGATAACCTTCTCTCCCTTTCAGAACATCAATTAGGTGAATTTCCCGAAGGCTAAGGAGCTTCTTAGAGGAGCTGATGGATCCCAAATTGGGACTCCACTGAAGAGGCTTTTAGGCAGCTTATTGAAAGTTGCATCACTGGTGAGAAAGACAGCTGTAAAAAGCTAATTACAATGCGAGATCTTGGCACAGGTCAACAAGAGCTTTTCTGCTAAACTGTACCTTAGCTCCTCTTCTTATGTTTATGCTTTTTTGTGTACAGTACTCAGAAAGATGTAAAAAAAAAAAATACTTTTAAATTATTCAGTATTCTAATTCAATGTTCACAACATTGAGATGTTGAAAAGTGATTTAAAAAAAAAAAAAAAAAAAAAAAAAAACTTAAAGCAGCGCTTTCAATCTGTACTTTGCTACAATACAAAGGTATCCCCAGCAGTCTGAAAGGCAAACATTTCCAGTCCTGGAAGCTAACTTCAAACAATTTGCTTGCTGAACGCAGAGCAGCTGTCCAAACCGTGGGAGTATCAGCTTTGCGGCGACATGCTGACCTGCAGTTGTAGCCTATATCTGCCGATGTATGCTGACTGACAGCGGGGCCAGAGCTGGCATACTGACAGCTCTGCTGTTGGGACTTGTCAGTTTTAGCGGGATACAGATTTGATCCAGACCTGACCTCTTTGACCTGTTGACATGATTTTTATTTATTTTTTCTTCTTTGTTTGTTTGCCTGCTCCGACTTGCAGTGCTGACCGACTCAGAAAATACACAAACTGGAGGAAAGGGCTGGGGGCGGGAGTGGTGCACAAAATACTTGGCAGACTGGCACATATTTATCAACCCTGTGTAATGCGATCGAATCAAAATACTGCAAATGAAAACCAGGAGGATCATGGTGTAAGGCAGGTTGATGAGGACATTTGAAGACACTGTTTGTAAAGGATTAAAGCTCCATTCTGCAGATACATGGCTCAGTTCTCTGTTTGTATCGGATCATCAGAAACATTGCAACATCTTGTTAGCAGCTGTGACTCTTAATACGAGACCAAAGATAAACATGCAAAGACTCCATGTAGATGAAAACAAACACCCTTAACACCCTTTTCCACCATGAAACATGGCAGTGGTAGTGTCATGCTTTTCTTCAGCAGGGACTCGAATGCAGGTGTTAACACCAGATGGAGTAATATGGAGCCTGATCCTGGATCAGGACAAAGACACAGAGCGGAGTCGAAGCTAGAATGGAATAGTTTACAGGATTTCTGCAGGTTTCACCAAATCAAATTTGACGCCTTTTAAGACATTTTTAAGTCTGAATTTCATTCTCACATTTTGTGTATATTATTTACGATAACACAAAAACATTTTCAACAAAACTAATTCCCATTGCCCACATTTGTGGACATCAACAACAAAACTAATGGCACGAAGTCCTTCTGTCCATATATGTGTACGTCATGTTTAGCAGCATGGTAAATCTCTACAGATACTAAATTTTGTAAAATTTTACAACAACAAACACTGAACACTTTTATAAATATCTGAACAAAAATCAGCCATAAAATTTGATTGAATTTTTTACCAGAGCAAAGTTTGGATCAAAAGCTGCCATGTGGATTTTGAGGTGTGTTATCAGCCATCTTGACTCTAACCTGTAATGTGTTCTACTCTACCACTACCACTATGTGGCAGTATAACGACCTCACATGTGGACATCAGGCCCCATATAGGGCAAAACTTTGCATTGTGGAGTAGACTACCCAAAATGTGTTGTCCACATATGTGGATGCCAGGTCCTAGGATTTTGAGACTAACAGATACATCGATTAGAGGCTAATAAAGAGAAGTTAATTTAACCACAGATTTTTACTCTTTTGTTTTGTCTGGCTAGTTAATAGTTTTCACTATTAACTAGTGAAAACTAGTTAATAGTTTTCACTTCCTTTTTTAATGACATGAGTGTAAAAAGTGAGAAGGTAAGAAATGCTGTCCTGGCATGCCTCAGGGAGTTGTCTGTGGGTTTGTGTGCATACAGACTGTGAACTTTATGATGGAGCTTAAAGTTAACTGATAAAAGCTTCAGATCCAAAAATCTATTCAATAGTTTGAGATTAGGCATCTTTATCCTCTTTTGCCATGTCTAACCCATTAAGACATTATGTAACAGATGGGCATGTGACTTCATTTTGAAGCCTAAGATGTATCTTTACATTAAAGGTTTCAGATAAAAGGTTTTTCAAAGGAGAAAACACAAGCACATCCGAGATAGCTAGAAATCTGCAGCTGGAGATAAAACTAGTTCAAGATCCATAGAATATTGTACAAGGCGTAATGGGACACTGTGTACCTTGATAATTTTGGCATTAATAATGTTGGACAGCGTCTTCTTGGCCATCTGGGAACCTTTGCCTGTAGGCAAGAAGCTTGGTCCCTGCAAGGATTCGATAAAAACACACACTGTTATCAAAACTGAGCCTCAACATATAAACACCAATTTATTCTCAGGAAATACAACATTTACAAACCCCACCAAGAAAACTGTAAATGGTAACAACAGACAACAAACGAAGGGCTTCAAGCCACCAGCAATCCTCTGAGGATTAAACAACATCTGACGTAAGTGACACTTGTTTTGAACCAAACTTGTGACAAGAAATAAAATGAGAAAGCCGGAGCGTCCTTTAACTAGATCAGCTGTGATTACTAAACACTGAGGTGCGGAGACATTTTCCTCAAGTCTTAGCCTCGCTCCACATTTTTTTGCACGGCTTCTTCGCAGCTGAGACACATATTTGATGAGCTCACGACCAATATATTTCAAAAGATGTTAATGTACTTGAATCAGCATTAACAAAACAAACAAAAAATACTAGTGTTCAGAAGTCCCTTTGAGTTTTCTCACATAGCATAAAGTCTGTTTCCTACGGTAAAAAAAAAAAAAAAAATAAAAATAAAATCTTTTTAAACGTTATATTGTAAAACAATAAAGACGGGGAGAGGAAAAAAAAAAGAGAAATCTCAACAACAGTTCATTCAAAGTCACCCTCTGATCTGAACTTCACCTGGACAGATATGGTGTGGTTGCATAGGAAACTCTGGTACTTCAGGGGAATGTGGACACTTTCTTTAGGCCGGAGATAAACCCTGGGACCAGGAGCTGCTTCTTCCATGTGAAACATGTTCTCCTCCAGCGGGGTAGAGGTTTTCGTTATTGCTTTGAAGTAACGCCACTCCTCGGTGTCAGTGATGACGCTGGATGAAAAGATTAAAGGACAGAAATGTGATCAAAGCAAGTTTTACATATTTTTTTAGATCACAATGCGACTTCTTATGCGATCAAAATGGAAACCGTGTGGTAGAGCTGAAGAGACAAAAAAAAAAAAAATCTGATTTCTGTTTCTGTAGAACCACCAAATGCTGGTACGGAAGAAAGCAACTTTGGAACATGTCTGCGATTCGAGAGAAACTCCAAAAAGTACCAAAATGGGTACATCACACATTTAAAAGAACATATCTGAAGACTTGTCATAAATTCAATATAAATTTGTAAGAAAATCCATGATCATGTATTAAAGAACCATCTTGCTTTCATGCAAGCCCAACAGCGGTTTAGGATCATGACTCACTTTGTTTTTCACTTTTTCTTTTTAAGAAGCAAGTTGCTGTGGAAGATAAGATTAAAATCAATCACTTAGCTGAACTACAAACTGCAAATCGAAGCCTCTGCAAATTTGACAAAACTTGCATCAGATCAAAGTTTCTGTTGTGAGATGACTGTCATATATTACTA